AAAGTCTGATTGTTGGCACGAGTGTGCCTCACAATGCCATTGAAGTTTACGTTAGCTTTTTCCCCCAAAAGATATTCCTATCCAGGCTGGACTGGGGTTTGACGTTACCTGGGTCTCGCAACCAACCCAAATGGGAATCGAGCCCGAGTATTGCAGCGTATGATTTAGAGTTAGCCTCGAAACCAAAGACTTATATTAGAACTCGCCTTTCAGGAGTTCATACACTCAGCAGAGTGCATCGATAGTGATACAGTGAAAAGAGGATGAGGCAATGTGTTCGACAAGCAAATCGTATTTTGACACGATCAGATTAGTTAACAAAGTTGTCACTAGTTGAACCTTCGTCTTTAGCTGGCAGCGAACCTAAAGTCGGCTCGAGGCTCCGGACGGTCAGGTTATCTGGTAGGTGACGGTGTATCGCAAGATCTGCCATTTTGTCTCCCTCAGGCAGGAAACAGTGACGGCCTCCTCGGTCGCCTGTGTCCGGGACGATGTGGGACGAAAAGCGCCCGAAGTCCCAACGGGTCTGCCACCTGTTGTCGCTACCACACAACCCTCTGCAACTGGACCGCCCGGCCAGGCTACCTTGACGTCGTGGTGGTGCTCCCTCAGACCGATTGGGACCACGCGAATCTCGACGCCGGCTGTCGATGGCTGGTACAGCGCCGTGCCATCGACCAACTTCTCATGACACGTCCAGAGTCCGTTGTGCCAGGCTGGTTGGGCCTTTGGCACTAGAAGGATGTCACTGTTGACCCCTGCGTCCGTCTGGCCAGACGAACTGTATCGGGAGAGAGTAAAAGAACCCGGAATCAGTCCACTTCTCGAGCATCCTGAAAGGGAGTCCTTCCGGCTTACGAGCATTTGTCTACACATGCCACATTCTCCTCGTCCAATGGGATGAAAGTGAGAAATTTGTCGACCCACGCTCAAAAGTTTTACATTTCGGCTACCAGTAAGTTATTTCCAGTCCATCGCTTTTACACAAGGCTACGTTGCCAAAAAGTGGCATTTAGGCTCGGAGCCGGATTGTCTCTTACCGGTTTGTATGTTGATATGCAAAGAAAGATTGAGTTTCTAAGAGTTTCTCAGTTTATAACTCTTGAGCTCACTTTCATTTCGAGTGAAAGTGTTTGGTGAAGCGATTCGAAAGTTTACTCTTTCAGAAGACGACGGTGGGTCCCTCCTGAACAGCTGTTGATAGGCTTTTCTGGAACATTTGTGTTTACACTGTTTCCGAAGCAATCCCCTTCGATTCCGGTCAAAATTAACTAAGCTTTCGTGCATCGTATGACAAACATCAGCATAGCAGGATGTTATCCTTACAACCATATTCAAGTTAACGAGTCAGGAAAACTTACCAGCTTATCCCTAAATGCTGTATATAGTCCTAACTCAAAGCTTTTTGATGAGTTATGAAGTGATTTGATTAGTTCAAGTTACAAGTCAACCTCGAAGCACGTCAGTTTGTCTGTCTGTGAGTGTTTGCGTGCCTTCATGCGTTTGTGTATGTATGAAGGTTTAGCAAGTTTTCACCAGAATCAAAGGTGATTGCTTCGGAGACTGCGTTAACAAGAATGTTCCAGCAAAGCCAATTGACAACTGGTCAAGTGGAATCCGCCGTCGTCTTCTGCTGGGATCGACCTTCGGATCATTTCACTAAACACCTTCACTCGAAATGGTAGTAATCTCAATAATTATAAACTGAGAGACTCTTCGAGACCTAACTTTTCTTGGTATATCATTCTTGCAGCCATATTCAAGAAAACTGGTAATGGAAATTCACCATCTTCTCCCCAAATGTTGTATATATGGCCCAATCCATTGTATTGTAATGGATTTATAAAGTGATTGAGTTAGTTCAAGTTATACGTTAATGTACTAATGTGAGTGTGTGCGTCTGTGTTTGTACGTGAATGCATTTGTACAAGACCAGTCTTGATAGCTCAATGTACTTTTAAAGCATCTGTCCCACTCCTTCCTAACCCTTTTTTAAATGTTGAACATCGCTATGGTTGCACAATGCTGGACAAACGTCTGATTAAGTTGCTGAGCTTTTTGCCTGCGTGTGAAAGGGAAATCATAAACTAAGGCATATACAAATTGAGTCATGACTTTCCATTTAGAAGGAAAATTTGGTTAATATCTACACGGCAAACCTCCTTCGTTT